TTGTCTACGAAGCTCAACGGAAAACCATCAATGGCTTTTATGGAGCTGTATCCCATTGTCGTGTCAGCTATTCTCTTGGGTCATCATTGGATTAAGAAGCGTGTTTTTTTTTCTGTGTGACAATCAAGCAACTGTGTTCATTCTTAAAAAGGGCAGATCTAAAAACATCATGTCACTCATGCGCATGCGCATGCTTACTTGGACAGCGGCAGTGAATAATTTCATCAGACTAGCTAAACATGTCCCCGGTTCTCATAACAACATTGCAGATGCCTTATCTCGTTTGCAGATACACAAGTTCCGAGCACTGGCACCTCATGCTCATGCTAAATCAGCACCTCAACACCCTGTGGTCAGCCGCCATCAGCAAAGGAACACAAGCAGTCTACACTACGGGCATGAACTGCTAAGTCAACTTCCTGTTGACCTTCGGACTGTACCAACTTGTGTCCTACTCGCATATTCCACCAATGAGTGAAAGCCTGTTGCAGTATTTCATCGTGCATTGCTATGGGGTCTCAAACTGAAACATGTGACAGTGAAATCGTACCTCGCAGGGGTGCGATTCTTTTACCTCAAGCACGGCGTGACGACCCTATTTGACGTCAATTCTGGTGCTACGAACAAACAGACTCCAGTCCATTATGAGAGGGTACAAAAAGCTCCAAGTGCCAGCCCAACGAAAGCGACTACCCATCACATACAGTGTGCTATCCAAGGTGGTGGCTACCCTCCGTGCTGGACTCCTCGGACCGATAAATGACTTCATCATGGAATGCATGTGTATTACAGCCTTTTTCGGGTTTCTTCGATGTGGAGAGATAACCTGCTCAGACAACTTTGATCCCAGTGTTAATGTCTGTGTGAGCGATTTCAGTTTTGACACATCTACAAAGAAGTGTACTCTCCTACTTAAGGCATCTAAGACTGACCCTTTTCGTAGAGGGGTGCCAATCACGCTATTTTCTAACAGCTCTCTGTTTTCTTATTCCAGCCTCAGGAAACTGTATCACATCAGAAATCTCCAACGAATTTCCGGGCGTGACGCTCTCTTCATCGATAGACACAACCAACCCGTCAATAGACTCACCTTCCTCTCGTGGCTAAGCAGAACACTGTCTCGGGCTGGTTTCAACTCCGCAGATTAATCTGGACACTCCTTCCGTATCGGTGCAGCTACTTCAGCCGCGCATGCACGTGTCGAGGATCACTTGATTAAGACCTTGGGTCGTTGGCAATCAGACTGTTTCCAGAGGTACATAAGGACTCCAGAAGCTACTCTGCTTCAAGCCCAGCGATCCTTGTGCCAGTGATATATGTCCCCGTAACGGCTACCGTTGCCGTATATCTCGGCTATGTATATTCCCAGGTTTTCTTTATGCCTCTGTATGTATCAATACAACTTGGTTACGCTGAGTCTTATGCACCAGGCCTGGTTACGTCAGTATCTTCATTCTACTTTTAGCTTATTTTCATGTTACTATCTCATTTATTGGGGGCTCTCGGTTTCACACAACCTTGTTTGGGCTTTCAAACCATTACATGGCTTGCACGCATTGCATGGTTTGTTAGCCCCCAAACAATTCCATATCTCACTGGTGGGCGCAGCCTCCAGCTTCATCCAATCATTACCCGCAGGGTATTCAGCTTCCACACTTGTCCGCAGGACAACACAATCAACTCATTGTCCGCAGGACATCAATTACCACGGTATCATCCGCAGGACGCTATTTGCAATACTCGTGTCCACAGGACACCTGTCACTATTAGCAGCCGAGAAGCCCCCATGTATATATATATGTTATGCCAAATGTTTTTTATTCAGTGCCAAATGTTTAATAATGTGCCAAATGTTTATTAATGTGCCAAATGTTCTATTAAAGCTTTGTAGTTTAAACAGCCTTTTTTGTTGTCTTTGCACAAAATGTAAATTTATATATTTTTGTTTGTGCAGAGATGACTTTATCTACTCACACAGCGTACGCCATCATATATCTATTCGTGGCTTTCAGGCTTGTCTGTTCCTCATACAGTACTTACTTGGGTAACCTATGTCATTACCTTCTCTATAAAAAAATTATTTTACTTTATGCAACCCCCTTTACCTACATCCCTTGCTAAATGTTATACCAACTATATCACGCTATATTGTCCAATTCTTTCTCAAGTATTAACCATCACGCTCAGTTATTTCCTGTGTTTAATATCTCTCGTAACATGCTCCACAGCTACTTCCGGTTACCTAAGTCTAAACATTTTATTTTCTCAAACATCGTGTACATTTCATTCCACACGTTTACTATCTTCCGTTTATATATTTACAACTGTTTGCACAACTTCCACGTATTATATTCCTGTAGGTAAATTCGTACCAAACTATTTTGTACACCCATAATGCACTATTCTCGCATGGGTGACGTCACATGTTTACACATGTATGCAAATTGGGGGAAACCTCGATCTCGTTTCACGCCTACCCTTGCGCTGCTAAGTTGAAATTGTTACCCTCCGTCCTTCCCCTTTCGCCACCTTGGGCTTCTCGGCTCCTAACAACCATGTCGGGCTTTCAAACCATTACATGGCTTGCACGCATTGCATGGTTTGTTAGCCCCCAAACAATTCCATATCTCACTGGTGGGCGCAGCCTCCAGCTTCATCCAATCATTACCCCCTGGATATTCAGCTTCCACACTTGTCCGCAGGACAACACAATCAACGCATCGTCCGGAGGACATCAATTACCACGGTATCATCCGCAGGACGCTATTTGCAATATCGTGTCCACAGGACACCTGTCACTATTAGCAGCCGAGAAGCCCCCATGTATATATGTACATATATATATATGTTATGCCAAATGTTTTTTATTAAGTGCCAAATGTTTATTAATGTGCCAAATGTTTATTAATGTGCCAAATGTTCTATTAAAGCTTTGTAGTTTAAACAGCCTTTTTTGTCGTCTTTGCACAAATGAAGCTTTTTGTGATTTCATTTCGTGATATGCAGGAATGAATATAAATAAAATCTTAATGAATAAATAAAATACCCTTATTTTACCCAATTCCATGTGCGTACAACTTACCATGTTCATGAGGGTCCGTATAACGTTAGTGTTGATTATATATATTTTACATTTATAGAGCAAAACTGTAATTAAAATTACACAATGCTAGGTTATATTTCTTTGGGTTAAATAATAGTACTCTGTCTTATATTTTACTGATGACTGCGTCAGAATTCATCCCATTATATTAGTGTGCACAGCTGATTGCTATTTCCGGCTCAAATACACACGGTCATCTTAATCCCTGTAAATAATACAATGAATGAATGAAAGGTTTATTCGCTTGGTATAAATCTTTAGTGAAAAGCGAGAAAATATAACCTGCGCGATATATAATACATTTACAGTATTAACATTTTGCAATACCAAGTCTTTCATAAAGCCAACATTGTGCTTCTGTTCATGTTGATAAAAACTGGCCTTATCCTTGACGAAGCATCCCATCATGGGCCCCGTGATCCTGTGAGATGTCCAAAATCAGGGCATGTCAGTCTGCAGATTCATCAGTAAATCTTCATTATAAAGTATGATTTGACTTAAAGTATGATCACTCTAGGTTTTGGTCGCCAAGGTTGCGAAAATCAAAGAGAACTATCTTGGATTTTGTTTATCTTTGAAACCGACGTTGTTGGATTACATCACAATACCACACAGAGGCTACAAGAAAAACATCCAGGATGTATATAAGATAATGGACAGGTAAAGCCCTATAATTATACCAGCAGTACACACCTTCATGTTCTGTTGCATCCCTTCAGAAAAAATATACACATATTATTCAAAATTATTATTATTATTCCAAATTCCAGATTTTCTTTCAGCAGACTAGCAAACATGCCATTGAATCAAAATCAGTTTGGTACACTTTGAAGCCACTAAGTCACAACACACATTCTAAAATGATGAAAACAATTTCCATAGAATCGAATGTGTGCACAAAATAATCTAGCCAATGTGTAAGAGCCACCACAGTGACCCTTCTGTTGCAAGCAGGTATAAAGGTGCATAAATTTGACAGGGCACAAAAATCAACAGTCTCTAAATTCCTAGAGCATGGAATCCTCATCACATCAAAAGCACCTCTACTCTTCAATTTTACAAAGTGCCAAGAATCAGATATCCATGACTGTTTCTGAGGTTAATCTTGCACAAGTTGTTAGAAGCCCTCCTGTTGTATCTTGTCAAATTTCCCAATTGTAAGATCACAGTAAACCATTACTTTGGTGAATAGGACACTGCCGTTAGGTCTCTGCCATTATTCAGGTGGGTATGGATCTACGGTGGAATTTAAAAATGTGAACCAAGCCTTTTGAAATTATTTTATATAATTTTTTTATATTTATATCATTTTTTGGTGATTAATGCAGTGAATAAACAAAATGTTTTTTATTATTACTGAGCCCAGCATTTGTTAGTTATTAATGGATTAACCACCTATCATCCCCATTTGATGGATACCACTTAAGGTTGCATCACATGTTTACACATAACTAAAGAAAGAGTTCCAACTGAAAACTTTCATAAAACTGTTTTGAAATAACAGGCAGTATAGCAAATGTATAGCTCTAGATTTAATTTAGAGTGTTCTGTTTTAAATAAATACTTTAAATAAATAAATAAACAGTAGTGAGTGAGTGAGTGAGTGAGTGAGTGTGTGAGTTTAATATTATGCCGCACTCAGCAATATTCCAGCTATATTGGCCACGGTCTGTAAATAATCCAGTCTGGACCAGACAATCCAGTGATCAACAGCATGAACATCAATCTACGCAACTGGGAACCAATGACATGTGTCAACCAAGTCAGCGAGGCTGACCACCCGATCCTATTAGTCGCATCTTATGACAAGCATGGGTCACTTAAGATCAATTCTAACCTGGATCTTAAATGTAGAGAAAAAAATTGTTCGTAGACCAGTTCACATCATAAAACGTACCTTATCACATTGCTTACATTTTGGGTAAACCCAAAAATGAAGCATGCATAACAGGAAGACAACAGCACTCAAAAGGAAGGCATAAAGCAGCAGGAGGAAGAATGCATAGTGATTTTGTTCTCCAACACAGTTGTTTATCCTGCAAAAGAAAAAAATAAGATAATTGATGAAACATCCAGATTAAATAAAGGTAATAAACTATGGGAATGTTAATCCCATAACCTTATCATATCTGTTATGCCTGTTCCATATTGTTCTTTACTTGCTTCAGTTAAAGGGGCACTGATCAAAAGCGATTAATGTTTCATGCTGACAATATAATTGCGAATCCTATCTGCAAGCTGGTCAGTTTCCTCTCCCTAGATCGTGACAGACACAGGGACTGGGCTACTGCCCACCCTGCCAGAATTTCTTCAACCAAAACAGTGGGACATTGGGAAGGTGAATGCCCATCAGATGACGTTATTTGAAAATAGGTAGTTTTTGTCTGATTGTAGTATCCCAGCAGTGTAGGCTTTTATGGATTTTCTTATGCCTGGATGATATAATGACTGATCCAATTTGATTCTGTTTCTTTGTTTTTTACCTCCATATCTAATCACATCTTGTAACGATATGATGTCTATTACCTATGATATTAAAAACACACACTTGATTTATTTGAATCCGTAAACTGAACATTGATAGAGCTGTGCAATATCACCAGTAAACTGAACATTGATAGAGCTGTGCAATATCACCAGTAAACTGAACATTGATAGAGCTGTGCAATATCACCAGTAAACTGAACATTGATAGAGCTGTGCAATATCACCAGTAAACTGAACATTGATAGAGCTGTGCAATATCACCAGTAAACTGAACATTGATAGAGCTGAGCAATATCATCAGTAAACTGAACATTGACAGAGCTGTGCAATATCACCAGTAAACTGAACATTGATAGAGCTGTGCAATATCACCAGTAAACTGAACATTGATAGAGCTGTGCAATATCACCAGTAAACTGAACATCAACAGAGCTGTGCAATATCACCAGTAAACTGAACATTGATAGAGATGTGCAATATCACCAGTAAACTGAACATTGACAGAGCTGTACAATATCACCAGTAAACTGAACATTCATAGAGCTGTACAATATCATCAGTAAACTGAACATTGATACAGATGTGCAATATCACCAGTAAACTGAACATTGATAGAGCTGTACAATATCACCATTAAACTGAACATTGATACAGATGTGCAATATCACCAAGTAAACTGAACATTGATAGAGTTGTGCAATATCACAAGTAAATTGAACATTGATAGAGCTGTACAATATCACCAGTAAACTGAACATTGATAGAGCTGTACAATATCACCAGTAAACTGAACATTTATAGAGCAGTACAATATCATCAGTAAACTGAACATTGACAGAGGTGTACAATATCACCAGTAAAGTGAACATTGATAGAGCTGTGCAATATCACCAGTAAACTGACTGACTGACTGACTGAGTTTGGTTTTACGCCGCTTTTAGCAATATTCCAGCAACATCACGGCGGGGGACACCAGAAATGGGCTTCACACATTGTACCCATGTGGGGATTCGAACCCGGGTCTTCGCCGTGACGATCCAACGCTTTAACCATTAGGCTACCCCACCGCCCCACCAGTAAACTGAACACTGACAGAGCTGTACAATATCACCAGTAAACTGAACATTCATAGAGCTGTACAATATCACCAGTAAACTGAACATCGACAGAGCTATGCAATATCACCAGTAAACTGAACATTGATAGAGCTGTGCAATATCACCAGTAAACTGAACACTGACAGAGCTGTACAATATCACCAGTAAACTGAACATTCATAGAGCTGTACAATATCACCAGTAAACTGAACATTGACAGAGCTGTATGCACCAGTAAACTGAACATTGATAGAGCTGTGCAATATCACCAGTAAACTGAACATTGATAGAGCTGTACAATATCACCAGTAAACTGAACATTGATAGAGCTGTACAATATCACCAGTAAACTGAACATTGACAGAGCTGTACAATATCACCAGTAAACTGAACATTGATAGAGCTGTACAATATCACCAGTAAACTGAACATTGATAGAGCTGTACAATATCACCAGTAAACTGAACATTGACAGAGCTGTACAATATCACCAGTAAACTGAACATTGATAGAGCTGTACAATATCACCAGTAAACTGAACATTGATAGAGCTGTGCAATATCACCAGTAAACTGAACATTGATAGAGCTGTACAATATCACCAGTAAACTGAACATTGATAGAGCTGTACAATATCACCAGTAAACTGAACATTGATAGAGCTGTGCAATATCACCAGTAAACTGAACATCGACAGAGCTGTGCAATATCACCAGTAAACTGAACATTGATAGAGCTGCGCAATTAATATCACCAGTAAACTGAACATTGATAGAGCTGTATAATATCACCAGTAAACTGAACATTCATAGAGCTGTACAATATCACCAGTAAACTGAACATTGATAGAGCTGTGCAATATCACCAGTAAACTGAACATTGATAGAGCTGTGCAATATCACCAGTAAACTGAACATTGATAGAGCTGTACAATATCACCAGTAAACTGAACATTGATAGAGATGTGCAATATCACCAGTAAACTGAACATTGACAGAGCTGTGCAATATCACCAGTAAACTGAACATTGACAGAGCTGTGCAATATCACCAGTAAACTGAACATTGATACAGATGTGCAATATCACCAGTAAACTGAACATTGATAGAGCTGTGCAATATCACCAGTAAACTGAACATTGATAGAGCTGTGCAATATCATCAGTAAACTGAACATTGATAGAGCTGTGCAATATCACCAGTAAACTGAACATTGATAGAGCTGTGCAATATCACCAGTAAACTGAACATTGATAGAGCTGTCCAATATCACCAGTAAACTGAACATTGATAGAGCTGTACAATATCACCAGTAAACTGAACATTGATAGAGCTGTGCAATATCACCAGTAAACTGAACATTGACAGAGCTGTGCAATATCACCAGTAAACTGAACATTGATAGAGATGTGCAATATCACCAGTAAACTGAACATTGATACAGATGTACAATATCACCAGTAAACTGAACACTGATACAGATGTGCAATATCACCAGTAAACTGAACATCGACAGAGCTGTGCAATATCACCAGTAAACTGAACATTGATACAGATGTACAATATCACCAGTAAACTGAACATTGATACAGATGTGCAATATCACCAGTAAACTGAACATTGATAGAGATGTGCAATATCACCAGTAAACTGAACATTGATAGAGCTGTGCAATATCACCAGTAAACTGAACATTGATAGAGCTGTGCAATATCACCAGTAAACTGAACATTGATAGAGCTGTACAATATCACCAGTAAACTGAACATTGATAGAGCTGTGCAATATCACCAGTAAACTGAACATTGATAGAGCTGTGCAATATCACCAGTAAACTGAACATTGATAGAGCTGTACAATATCACCAGTAAACTGAACATTGATACAGATGTGCAATATCACCAGTAAACTGAACATTGATAGAGCTGTACAATATCACCAGTAAACTGAACATTGATAGAGATGTGCAATATCACCAGTAAACTGAACATTGATAGAGCTGTGCAATATCACCAGTAAACTGAACATTGATAGAGCTGTGCAATATCACCAGTAAACTGAACATTGATAGAGCTGTGCAATATCACCAGTAAACTGAACATTGATAGAGCTGTGCAATATCACCAGTAAACTGAACATTGATAGAGCTGTGCAATATCACCAGTAAACTGAACATTGATAGAGCTGTACAATATCACCAGTAAACTGAACATTGATAGAGCTGTGCAATATCACCAGTAAACTGAACATTGATAGAGCTGTACAATATCACCAGTAAACTGAACATTGATAGAGCTGTACAATATCACCAGTAAACTGAACATTGATAGAGCTGTACAATATCACCAGTAAACTGAACATTGATAGAGCTGTACAATATCACCAGTAAACTGAACATTGATAGAGCTGTGCAATATCACCAGTAAACTGAACATTGATAGAGCTGTACAATATCACCAGTAAACTGAACATTGATACAGATGTGCAATATCACCAGTAAACTGAACATTGATAGAGCTGTACAATATCACCAGTAAACTGAACATTGATAGAGCTGTGCAATATCACCAGTAAACTGAACATTGATAGAGCTGTACAATATCACCAGTAAACTGAACATTGATAGAGCTGTGCAATATCACCAGTAAACTGAACATTGATAGAGCTGTGCAATATCACCAGTAAACTGAACATTGATAGAGCTGTACAATATCACCAGTAAACTGAACATTGATAGAGCTGTACAATATCACCAGTAAACTGAACATTGATAGAGCTGTGCAATATCACCAGTAAACTGAACATTGATAGAGCTGTGCAATATCACCAGTAAACTGAACATTGATAGAGCTGTGCAATATCACCAGTAAACTGAACATTGATAGAGCTGTGCAATATCACCAGTAAACTGAACATTGATAGAGCTGTACAATATCACCAGTAAACTGAACATTGATAGAGCTGTACAATATCACCAGTAAACTGAACATTGATAGAGATGTGCAATATCACCAGTAAACTGAACATTGATAGAGCTGTACAATATCACCAGTAAACTGAACATTGATAGAGCTGTACAATATCACCAGTAAACTGAACATTGATAGAGCTGTGCAATATCACCAGTAAACTGAACATTGATAGAGCTGTACAATATCACCAGTAAACTGAACATTGATAGAGCTGTACAATATCACCAGTAAACTGAACATTGATAGAGCTGTGCAATATCACCAGTAAACTGAACATTGATAGAGCTGTGCAATATCACCAGTAAACTGAACATTGATAGAGCTGTGCAATATCACCAGTAAACTGAACATTGATAGAGCTGTGCAATATCACCAGTAAACTGAACATTGATAGAGATGTGCAATATCACCAGTAAACTGAACATTGATAGAGCTGTACAATATCACCAGTAAACTGAACATTGATAGAGCTGTGCAATAT